GCGTTCATCCGAACCGCTACTTGCCGCTAACTCACCGCCTTCCGTTGGCCGGTTGTGCGCCGTGGTCACTCGGCTTGAATTTAAAGCATACTTTGGGTCACTTTAAGCATGTGTTTACATTTTCTTTTTTTTTTTAATTTGTATTTGGGTTTTTTTTTCGGGTTTTTGGTACCACTCTTCGCAACTTGGCGTTGATAATAAAATAGAATTTTTTTTTTAATTTTTTTTTGGGTTAATTTTTCTGCATAAAAACACTCAACTTTCCAACTCACATTTTTATGTTAGTATACTTTAGCTGCTTGCGCGCTCACTAGTTCGTTGTTGCTTTTTTCACCCTCACTCTTGGCATAACTGCAATAACGTAAACTACCCATGGTACGCTCACCTGTCCTTCATAGTGGCGACTAGGACTAATCAAGATCTTGTGCTGTGTTTATTTTTGAAAAAAAAAAAACACGAAAAAAATTTAAGCGCAACAAAAAATTAATGTATACTTTTTCAAGGAAGCGCAAATAGCTTTTTCAACTTTTTCACATTTCAAGTTAACATCTTTTTTGCAACATACTTTCTGACATATTGCCTGCGAGCAAACAAAACATTTTCCTGTAAACAAACAAACAAAAAACAAGTTGGTAGCGAAAGTTGTAGTAAATGTAACAGTAAAACTCAGTTGTACTCATTAGGCGAAAAACTATGTCCGAACAGAGCAGAACATGACTCTTGCTTGCTTGCTGGCTTCCTTGTCTACGTAATAAGTTCAACAAGTGCGCGGCAAAAAAAAAAAAAATAAAATAACGAATGTTGAAATGGGCGAGGATGCGACGGTTAGTTAGATACTTTAAAGAAAAAGTTATGTTGCCTTTAACAAAATTATGACACTTTAAATTTTTTTAAATTAATATTTTTTTTTTTATATAATTTTTGTTTTCACTTTCTGTTCTCACGTGATAACAACGCCTTGAAAACTTTTAAAATTTAATATAACATATTTCAGTAAATTCTTGTTGCGCTTGAAAGCTATACCAACTTTTATTGTAGTAGAGAAGAATGTGGGTACACTGTTCACTGAGGGAGGGTTGATGCTCCGCCATTTGCTCACTCTAAGGATTAATGTGATACACTGGCCAAGCTTTTACCATTTGCCATTATATTTTGTTGAGTGCTCGAAATTAGATGCAGTTTAGTTTTTCACTAGTTAAAAGTGCAATTATGCGCCTAAATGTAGGCAACTTTTATACAAATTTCTCAGTGAAAAACACAACCATACGCTCTTCATGCACTCAATCGTGAAAAAGTGTTTTTTAGTAATATATATATATATATATATACGTTAACAGATCAGTTTAAATACTTAACAATTAATGTTAAATAGTTAATGGATAATTTTAAATCGTTAACAGACAACGTTATATCGTTATATATATATATAATAAAATTATCTGTTAACGATTTAACATTATATGTTAGCGTTGTAACATCATCTGTTAACGATTTAACATTATCTGTTATCGATTTAAAATTATCTGTTAACGATTTCAAATTGTCTGTTAACGATTTAACATTATCTGTTAACGATTTAAAATTATCTGTTAACGATTTAACATTTTATGTTAGTGTTGTAACATCATCTGTTAACGATTTAACATTATCTGTTATCGATTTAAAATTATCTGTTAACGATTTAACATTATATGTTAGCGTTGTAACATAATCTGTTAACGATTTAACATTGGCTTATAAAGATTTAACATTAACGACAGCTCTTTGTTTCGCGTAAACACGGAATGAAATTTATTTTGATGACTGCTTTAAAGATAACATTTCCAAATGTTATAACCGAATCTTTACGATACAACATTGATGTATTTATAATATATAACACAGCCACTCACGTAGGTATACAGTGCTCTGCAAAGTAGTTTGCGTTTGGCTTAGATTTGTGTGGACACAACTGGCTGGACAATTTGTGTTGCATGCATTTATAAATATGTACATTTTTGTGTACGATATCTGTATGTATGCAAGAGAATAAAACTTTTTCTATAGTCATATACCTACTTGTAAAGTGTCCAAAACCGGCGCTTTTGCCGTGTACCACTCACCCACTTTTTACTTTGCCTAAGAGCATTTCGGTGAACCAGATTCCGAGATGAAATAGACATTTAATATGGCTAAAAGTATCTTAAATATTTCATTAGAACTAGCTGTATATGTTGTCATGTGTAGTATGGTGGCACTTAGCTTGTCATTTCCGTTGCTTTCATGTGATTTTGGCTGTTGGCCAGAATAATGAGAATAATAAGTTCGAGTATGTGTGTGTTTACATGTAAAGAGGAGAAGACAAAAATATGCTACTAAAATAAGTTAACATAAATTCTAAGCTATTTTATTACACATCTAATTTTTATTCCATTTCATTTGCTATCCACTTCTTCTCATAGTGTTTTTTTTATCTTTTGTCATGCTCTCACAGCTAAGTAGTTTAACACATTTTTTGTTTTTTTTTTTGCTTTTGTGAATACCAGCAGGAACACCAGTCCCCGGCAACTCCTCTATCTTTATGCTTGATATTTCACCTATGATTGCAACTCTTTGCAATCCTTTGTCTTTTATTATTGACTTTTATTTTTATTTTTTTTTTAAGGATTTTATTTACCATTTTATTATCACTAAAATTACACGCTTTTTACATATTCCTTTCCTTCTTTTACTTTCCTTATTTCGTTTTATTTTCATCCACTTCATACCACCTTTGATCACAGGACTATCTATACAGTCATTGCTTTTTGTCATTGTCATCTAAAGTCAACCAACCATTCAACCATCAAATCACCTAACTCGCATGCCAAAGCGACACCCACCCAGCACCAGCAAGGTGTACACTTTAACGTTTACAAACACACACAGGAACGGTTTATATGTATAAGATTTAGCGGGTGACCAGACCAACAACAGAGACCAACTACAGACAGATACACATCTAATATTACCCACTTATATATCGTATTTATGTATAGAGCGCTTAAAGTCGAGGAGAAAATGACGTGAAAAAGTACTTCACACAAAATTACCCTTTTCAATTTGTGGCTTTTGCTATTTTGTTTATTCGCCGATTTGCGCTGTGATGTCAGTAAAGGGTGAACACGAGCTGAGCGGGGTTTTTTCTGAATGTGTTTTGGCCGACAAGCGTGTGCATGTTTGCCTTCGTTAATATTTGTATTTGCTCTTATTGACTTGATTTCTATTGTGAGTTGATTTAGTGGGGAATGAGCGCATGAATGCTAATAAAGAAACACAACAAACATGGATATATAGAAAAATATATATTTACGCTTTGTAAACGCTGTAGCGATTTTTTGGCCAAGCTCCGCCTCTAATTTGCGGTTTTGCGTCTTGATGACCGCAATTAGAAAATTTAACTTAATTTTTTATTTAAATTAATTTTTCATAACTTTTCGATGTTGGTGGTTGTCTGTACGTTATGCTAACCACCTGGCTACCGCGGCCGCCGAACATGAATATACATGCATAGATAGATATTTAGCTCATGTACATCTATTTAGTAATTATATTTTAGACAATTCAGTATTTATTATATGACAATATGTATATAAATAAATATATGCATTTGTGCTAATTTTAGTTTGCATTTAAAATACAGTTATCCAAAAAGGATGTTGATTTCTTTATAATTCGCTTCTAGAGAAATCTTTATTCATGTTAAGCCTTCAACATGAAATCCCAAAGGGTTCAGTCATAATTTTTGGGTCTCCAAAGGACTTAACTTGTATATATTTATAACATATTTAGGGACTTGTGCTGAAAAATATATAGGCATAGTTTGGTTTGCATACTTTTTTACGTATATTATTGGTAATTTTTTTATTTAAAATATTGTTTTAAACGCTAAAAATAAATATTTCATTAACCTCTTGAGAAATCTACAAACTTTCGGAAAACGAGCACGCGCCTGAAACTATGCAACACACAGATCCAAGCTCACGCATTGACACTCATGTCAAATATATTGTTAATATATTTTTACAATTTCATTATAGCGGTGTTGTTTTATGATTTAGTGTACGCCTTTTGACAAATATATGCCAAAATGATTGGCTTTGTGCTGAAACGAAATGAATAAGGAAAGGATTAAGTGTATGTCCAGTGCTTTCTTCTCTTGTTCTCATATAACTTTTAATGAAATTTTTGTTTATTGTTTTGTCTAAAATTCTCATTTTACTCGTGGCTCCTTCAACTATGTAGAAAGCGGTAAGAGTAAAGTTGTATTTTCCGTTGCCCCATAGTCAACTTGTTTTCTCCAACGCTTTTTCACATTGCTCCAGTTTTTTGTGTGCCTCAGTTCGCAATCGAAAACTGTAATTTCCTTCGTTCTATTTATTTTAGCAAAGTACGTTTTCCGCTGCTCCCAAAGCGCTATTTACTTATGCCTTTTGAGCTTGTCGCTTGACGTTTCCGCCAGTTCTTCACTTCACTTTCCAACACTGCTACGAGTATATACTCGTATGTAGGTATGTACGTCCGGCAAACATAACAGTGTTTATGTTAGTGCTCGTTCGTCGTACACGTTTCTTATCCAGCCTCCCATCTACTTTATGCTGTTCTACGTTCACTTTTAATCTCCTATTCACTTACTTACTTAATATTAGCTTAGAGTAAAAACATCTGCGTAATTTATTTACTTACATACTAATAGCAAATGTTTACGTACATACATATATATATGCACACAAAACTGTATAAATATATATTTTTGGTATTTTTGTACTTATGCTATTTTATTTCTTCACTTAGTCTTTTTTACTTATTAAACAAATACTTATTGTGCTTTATTTTTTTTATCTCTGTTTCATTCTATTTTCTCATGCTACTCGTGCTCCTCGTGCTACTGCTACTTTGAAACGAAACAAAAAAAAACCAAAAAAAAAACCTAAACAACAACAACTACAATGGCTATTAACATAACGATTTGCGTTGTATAGCGAGGAAGCGACGAACTTTTAAGTCAAGCTGCAGTTATGGCGCCCGCTTCTGACAATAATAATCAGGATTTAGCCACAAAGAAAGCCAAATTGGAGCCAAGCACTGTTCTTGGCGGTGTTGGTAAGTTTTATGTACACATATATATATATAAATTTTATTTCATTTATGCTGTATACCTTTTTCTTATTGCTCTATTCGTATTATTTAAACACACTCCCTTCAAATAGAACTATTTTACAGTTGCCGCTACACAGAAGGGTATAATGGCTAAAAAGTTGATGGGGTCAGCGCTAAAGCCGCCTCTTCACTTTTTACTCATTCAGACTAAATATTATTTAATGAGTTTCTTTTAAACGCTTCTGCGGTATTTCCCTTTACTACAAATACATGTAATAAATACGAAAGTTTTTCGTGAGATTTTGTATCGCTTGCTTTGCCTTACCACGTACGGACAATTATTGTTGACGCACTTGCAACTTTTTTTTTTTATAATTGGCGCTTTGTAACTGCCGGGTTCTTCCTCCCATTTGTGGTTTTGCGTCTCGATATTTTTCAACCAATGGAGGGACCTACAGCTCTTACTAAGCCGCCTCCGAACGGCTGATGTTTTTTTTACGATGAGATTTTATATCTTGTCATAAATACACTCGGAATGGTGGACACTTAGAAATTTTTATTTATTTAAATTAATTTTCTATAACTTTTGGATGTTGGTCGCACCGGAATATGAACCGGGGCTTTCAGAAGGGCAATGCTTCAACAACCACTGGGCTACCGCGTCCGTCAATTACTTCAAATTTTCAATTATTTGTTATTAAAAAAAATTACAGAATAATAAGAGACGAGGTTTCAAAAACGATGTAAATTTAACCACGTTTCTAAGTTCTCTAAATCTTAAACGACATAAGGGTCCACTATACATAGGTCTCCCTTAAGCATTTCCAAAGGCTTACGCTGAGTCTAAGCCCAAGGGCAATTTTATGAGGAGCTTTTTAATTTTCATTTGATAACTACACTCGGAGGGGTTGACTTTCTTTGCCGAGGAGCGAACGCAATTAAAAAAATTAACCTAAATTACAAATTTGGAGGAGGAGCTCGGTCGAAATTTGAAGAATTCAGCATTTTGATGAGTGCATAAGTTCGTGCCCGATTCCGCTGGATGCCGTTCGAATCGTTTGAGAGTGGCGCTCGTGAAAGAAATATTGTATATACATATTATATATCGTTGGAAAGGTGACAGTCCGAACTGTAAATCAAGCATAAAATAACTTCATTTTATTTGAGTTGCTTAGTGAAAAGACGCATGGAAGATGGACAACGAAAAAGATCATATGCGTCACATTATGTTATACGAATAATAATAATAATCCGATGAAGGTACTGCTGTGCATTTGGTGGGATATCCGATGCGTGATCTATTTTGAGCTCTTGCCAGCTGGAGAAACGATCACTGCCAACAAGTATTATCAGCAATTGGTCGAATTGAAGAAAGCAATTGATGAAAAACGTCCGATTTTGGCCAATCGCAAAAGAGTTCTTTTCCATCATGACAACGCCAGGCCACATGTTGCAAAACCGACCCTGGCCAAACTGAAGGAGATGAATTGGGAGATCATGCCGCATCCCCCATATTCACCCGACATTGCACCTTCTGATTATCATTTGTTTCGATCGTTGCAGAACAATTTGAATGGAAAAAAATTTAAAAATGTGGAAGACGTCAAAAACCACCTTGACACCTTTTTCAACGAGAAACCGCGCGATTTCTATGAATCAGGCATCCGTAAATTGGTTGAACGTTGGGAGTGGATTGCCGAACAGGATGGCGAATACACAATTGATTAATAAAAGCGCTTTCTTCGAAAAATTTCAATTTTAGTTTACACTTGAAATCGGGCACGAACTTATGCACTCATCCAATACTTTTAGATTCTAAATAAAATTTTTTAGAATTTATTACCGAAATTTTTGAGTCTCGATGTACGAGTGGTTTTTCAATTAATGTAACACGCCTTTCTGGCAACATTTCCAGTTTATACAGTTTTTAGTTTTGACTAAAGCCTCTATTTATCAAAAATTTTTCGGCTATAAAAATTTAGAGTCGCAACTGTACCTTGGCCGCCCTATTTAGCGAGTCAGAATGTGGCATACAATTAAAAATTGGATAATTGAAACAAACGCGGCCTTTGCGCAATATTAAGCCTTGCTTGTTGTTGTTGTTGGCGCCACCAATAAACAAACTAATTACACCGAAAATTTGCCTAACGAAAATTCAATGGTCGCGCATTGTTTGTTTGATTTTGTTGCTGCCGCCGCTGGTTCTGCTGCTGCTGATCTATTGATGCTCGGTTTTGCTAACACAAATGTAAAAGCAATACGCTTATAATGTATTAATTAACCTCAACATATAAACAAACAGTTGTGGGTATGAGAATTGAAAAATTTTCATTCTCCACAACAAGTTTGTATGTGGGTGTGTACGTGTGCGTGTGCATGTTCCTCATGAAGCAACGCGCGGGCGTATGGGCTGGCAACAGATCATAAAATTACTCACACACACACACACACTGGTAACCGAAAATTCCATGTAAGCAGCTATTAATTATGTAGCCGAGCTTTCTGTATGGCTTGGTCTCGGTTGCTGCTGTTGTTGTTGTTGTTGTTGTTGTTGTTGTTGTTGGCCGGTTGCGGTTAAGATCATTATTTTGCTCATCATCACTCGCAACGATTTGTGGCTTGGAGTTTGAGTTTAGTTGGTGTTGTTGGATTTTTGGGTTGTTAGCTAATACTACAATAATACAATAATAATAAAAATAGCAGTAAACAGGAATGTGGCCACAAAATCGCTTACACATCATGCAACGTGCTATAAAAACAAAGGCATTCAGAGCTGAACTAAAACCATTACTGAACTATGAGTAATGTGCATATGTATGTGAGAGCGAACAAGGATTCTGAATTAGTTATGCACTATAATTGGAATATTTTGTTTTAATAAAATGTTGAAATAATTTTAAAAATTGTTAAAATCCATCGTTCATAGACCACACGCTTAAAACCAGGCTTCTTATTACCAAAGCAACAAAATTTGCAGATTAATTCTGAATAATGATAACTTAGTATTGTAATGAAATAACCCAGATCTTTAAATAATCTTAGTACAAAACGGATATCATGTATTTGGTAAACTTTTTTAGAATCCAATGAGGCACATAACAGATTACTTGGATTTTGCCAAAGCTTTCTACTTTATTGGCATTGATACCGCTTACACGATTATAGCCGAGTTAACAACAGTGCGCCATTCATTACTTCCTTTGAAATTGGAAATATTCACACACAGCCAGGTCCTTCTTTACCTGGTCTTTTAAGAAGCTTAAAGGTCCTCCTCTTCTTCTGCTTCCGTTTGAACACCTTGAGCTAGCCAGCACAGACTCTGTATTTTCATTCGCTGAACTATGTCAATATCATCGTATAGCTTGTATAGCTCATCGTCCCATCGTCTCGTTGCCAATGTGCAAAGGACCATAAATCGTTCGCAAAACGTTTCTCTCGAAGACTCCTAGAGCCGACTTATCATTTATTGATATCGTCTTCACTTCTGCGCCATATAGAAGGACGGGTATGATGAGCGACTTGTGGAGTTTGCTTTTCGTTCCTCGAGAGAAGACTGAATTGCCTACTCAGTCCAAGGTAGCGCTTGTTGTTGGCAAGTGTGATTCTGCGTGGGATTTCCAGGCTGGTGTTATTATTGGTTTCAAGATCGTTGGAATTAACTACGACTTCAAAGTTATAACTGTCAACAGTGACATGAGAGCAAAGACGCGAATGCGATGACTGTTTGTTTAATGCCAGGAGATATTTCATCTTGCCCTGTCAGGTCTGGAGAATGCAGAGCTCATGGTCCGGTTGGTGAGACCAATTGTGTCAATATCGTCGGCGTACGCCATCAGCTGTACACTTTTATAGAAAATTTTGTATCTTCCCTGTTGTATTATTTTCTCCAGCAATGACTTATCTGAAACCTCATGATATTGATGGAACTTTGAGTGTTCCTTAACGTCAGTACCCACAGCCGCATAAGTTTTGCGGCGATACTGAATTCAGATATAGCGGCGTGGAGGCAGCTCTGTTCGTGCTGTCGGAAGCTGATCTAAAGCCCAGAAATTTAGTTTCAAAGATAGCTTTTTTTTTGTTACAAGAAAAAAAAACTCTAAATATCATTGACTGGTCAAAACATAAGCACTTTCTGAACATGTTTCGAAGTAGAACGAAGTCTATGGAACTTAAGTGATACCATGCGGTATTTAGTTAAATGAGCTCAGCGTAATATCGGTCGACCTATGGATGCTATTAATATTAATAATAGATCTTAACGCCGACAATGGAAAACACAGAAAATTTCCATTTGCCAAAATCTTCGTGCAAATGTGTTTTACTCGCACATCATTACGTAGAGCAGCTTATAGTCTGCGGGTAAGCTGACGAGCCTGTCATTGCATTGCACTGGAAAGTACTTTAAGGATTTACAACGCTTTAACTGCAATTATTTTGCACGACCAGCCAATCTGTTTTCGCTCGCTACAGTCAGCATTGCGCTCGTTTAGTTAGCTTCAAATACACATAAACACATATGTATGTATTGTACGTTGGCCTTGTTTACATGCGCTTGCAACTGCTGTTGATGGTAGCAGGCGCTGGGTTATTTGCCCACCTACAGACATGTTGCAAACCAAACAAACATGCGTACATGCACACTTCGCTGTAGCGTAATGGCCATATCCGTGGTAGTGTTGGCCGTAACAGGCATTTTATTTATATATTTTAGCATTATTTCTATCAGCGAAACGAGCGAGAACAGCGAACGAACGAAGCGTAGGGCACTTGGTTGCAGGCTAGTCAGTGGACGCGCTTTTATGCATATTTTTGCGAGTGTTGTGCAAGCATTAAGGTGTATTTTTGAAAAACTAAAATTTTCAAATTCATTTTTATAGAAAGAAAGACGTTTTTTTTTTTGAAGAATTTAGCCTTGGAAACTGTTTTTTTTTTTTTTTTTTTATTGCAAGAAAATTATATGTTCAACAGTGCGTATGAGTAACGTAAATAAATTTCACTTGTAA